AGTGCCCAAACTGCAACCCAAAACCCACTTATGCATCGTCAGGTGCCGGGTGGGTGTGGCTCATTGGGTGGGTGTGGCCATTGGGTGGGCTGCGGTGGTAACAGCAGACTGGGTGGGACTAAAAAGTTCAATCAATCAATTCCAACTTTGCGAGATCTTTTTTTTTCCTGCGAGAAGTTGAAATTGACTGATTGATTGAACCTTTTTTTTTTGTACACGGCGGCGGAGGCCTAAAGCGAAAAGGTTTTATAAAACCCAGCTGAAGGCCTGTGACTGGGGCGACGGTGCGCGTGCCCACAGAGAGGGCTCTGAGTGCTGCCTCTGGCACCCGTGCCATAGGTTCGCCACCACTGTCCTAGAAGGATAAGAGAGGCCCGAAGAGACTATCAGTTCTTAACCAGGAAATTGACTGAAAAAGGAGTGAACTTTAGATGGTTGATTCCAGAAAGGATCTTAATCTACTGGGACATGAAAAGATACAGACTGGACACACCACTCAAAGCAATGGAATTTTTTGATAACCACAAAGCATTCTTGGAAAAAGGTGATCCTGAACCCAAGAAGCAAGAAGAAACGGTAGTTGAAGGAGCCGCTAAACAAACAGAGGAGGAAGAAATCAAAAATACATATCCAGAAGAAGGAGCAGGACTGAGAGACCAGAGACAGATAAGATCGACTAGAAGATTGAGACCTAGATATAATTGAAAGCGATGGAGGAGATTGGAATTTTATCAATAAATATAAATGGACTAAACGCTCCTTAAAAGGAGAAAATTTTTAGAAGACTACAAAAACTAAAAATGGACATAGTTTGCCTCCAAGAGACACACATTAAGAGACAACATTTCAAAATCCTAGAACAATTGAAAATTGGCAAACTTCATTTTACACTTGCATCTCAAAAGAAAAGAATAGCCCTTTATATTAAAGAAAAAATGAATCCCAAACAAATCTATGCAGATGAAGAGGGGAGAATACTAATGGTGGAAATTATGGTGGATCAAAAACAGATATTGATGGTAGCAATATATGCACCTAATGATAAGCAAGAGCAATTTTATCAACAACTACACAAGAACATACTGGATTTAAGTTACCAAAATCTTTGTATAATGGGAGACTTTAATGCAATAGCAGATGCAACTTTGGATTATAAAAGCCATAAACAAGGGAGAAAAGGAGGAAATATACTACCTAAAGCATTTTCAGAAATGAAAGAATTGTGTATCCAAGACATATGGAGAGAGAGAAACCCAGAAAAACTACAATATACATTTTATTCAAATAGACATAAATCATGGTCTAGAATTGATATGATATGGATATCTTTTGACTTCAAAATGATAATACAAGAGCTGGAGATAGAAACTAATGTTTGGGCAGATCACAACCCAATAAAAATGACCTGGAAAGGAACCAAGAAAAAACTAAGATGGTCTCTGAATAAATCTATATTGAAAGAAAAAGAATTCTTACAACTAGTAACAAAGGAAATGGATTTTTTTAAAAAAAATAAACAAGAAAGAAGAAACATGCCATCAAAATGTATGGGACATGTCCAAAGCATACTTCAGAGGGCTGGCTATAACTTATGCTTCTAAAAAAATAAAGAAAAGAAACGATTACAGTTAAAACTGAGAGAAGAACTTAAAAAACTGAACTAGAGTTACAAACAAACCCACAAAAGAAAGTCCTCAAGAAACAAATGGAGATAATAAAGCATAAATTAAACCTGGCTGAGATGGAAATAATGGCTCAACAGATTAAACGGACTAAACAGAATTTCTTTGAAAACGTAATAAGCCGGGGAGATGGTTAGCATATAGATTGAAGAAAGAAAAAGAAAAATAAGCTACAAGATTCAAAAGGAGAATTACAGTTCCAAAATGATGCAATGAAAAAAATCATTAAAGACTTCTATGAGATACTTTATAAGGCAGAGGAAGTTCCTAAAAAAAAAATACAGCTGTACTTAAAAAAAGCAGACTTGCCAAAAATTCCGGAGAATATTTGAAATATATTAAATGGAAAAATATCAATGATGGAGATTATAGAAGCCATAAAAAGACAAAAAAAGGATAAGACTCCGGGCCCAGATGGACTTCCCGCAGAATTTTATACATCATTACAAGATGTATTAAGTCCAACTTTGAAAGAACTGTGTAATGAAATCCTCTTGGAGGCTAAAATACCAAAGTTGTGGACTGAAGCTAACATTACCTTAATATCTAAAGAAGATACTGATCTCACACAAATAAAAAACTACAGACCAATATCGCTATTAAATGTGGATTATAAAATCTTTGCTTCAATAATGGCAGAAAGAATTAAGAAATTCTTGACTGAATTTATACACACAGACCAAAATGGCTTTCTACCTAAAAGACAGATAAAAAATAACTTAAGAATGATTTTGGATGTTTTAGAGTATTATGAAAACCATCCAGGGAAACAGATGGCATTAATATTTCTTGATGCGCAAAAAGCGTTTGATAATCTGAACTGGCAATTTATGTTCCAGCAGTTGGTGGAAATGGACTTTGGGAAAAATTTCATAAATGCAATTCAAACAATCTACCATAAACAAACGGCTAGAATAATCTTAAATGGAGACTATACTGAAAATTTTGATATCAAAAAAGGTACAAGACAGGGATGTCCATTATCCCCATTGTTATTTATACTAACATTAGAAGTACTGACTAGAAAGATTAGACAAGATATAGAAATTAAAGGATTGGAAATAAAAGATCAAAAATATAAATTACAAGCCTTTGCGGATGATTTGTTTTTTATCTTGGAGGAGCCACTTGAAACAACTACTAAATTGTTGGAGAGAATAGAAAAGTTTGGAGAAGTGGCAGGTTTGAAAATAAACAAAGAAAAGACTAAAGTATTGACAAAGAACTTAACAGATAAACAGAACAGTCAACTTACAAAAAAGACAAATTTGCAAATAGTTAAAAAAGTTAAGTAAAGTACTTAGGAATCTACCTAACAGCAAGATGTGCAACATTAAAAGAAGACAACTATGAAAGATTGTTAAAACAAATGAAAATGGATTTGGAAAAGTGGAAAAATCTTCAACTGTCATTGTTAGGAAGAATAGCTACAGTGAAAATGAATATCTTACCGAAAATACTCTTCTTATTCCAAACAATTCCTGTAAAACTGGGAAAGGTCTTTTTTGATGACCTAAATGCAACAATATTGAGATTTATTTGGCAAGGGGAAAAAGCACGAATTAAAGTGAAAATGCTACAAGAAGCTAAAGATAGTGGAGGATTTGGACTCCCGGACTAGAGACTATATTATCAAGCAGCTATTCTATCATGGCTTAAAGAATGGATAACGCTGAGAAATGAAAGAAATAAAAGACTATTGTCTATATTTGTAGGGCATGACCTACAAATTTGTTGGCATGCCTTCCTATGGTACGGGAAGAATAAAACACACAGATATTTTCAAAACCATTTTATAAGGAATGTACTTATTTTAGAATGGGAAAGAATACAGGAGAAAATTTATATCAAGCTACCTGAATGGCTTTCAACAATGGAAGCTTTTGCTTACCCAAATTTAATTAACTATGACAAAGTCGTGACTTATAAAGATATCTTGGATAACAAAGGAAAATTGAAAGATAGACAAGATTTACAACGATAAGGTATTGATTTACCATGGTGGCCATATTTGCAAATTCAAACGAGATATGAAAAAGATGTAAAGAAAATGGGATTTTATAAATAACAGACAGAATTTGATCAAATATTGTTAAAAACAGATGAAAACTTGATTAAGAAACTCTATAGATTTCTGCTAAATTTAAAGATGGAAGAAGAACAAGTAAAAGAAACAATGATAGTGTCGGCAAAAAACTTTGGATATTCTAAAGATTTGGAAGACTGGTAAAAATTATGAGATAGAAATATCAAATTGACTAAAGCAGTCTCATATAAAGAAAATCTGTACAAAATGTTTTACAGATGGCACATGACAACAGTAAGATTAGCGAAAATGTTTAAAAATACTTCGAATAATTGCTGGAAATGTAAACAAAGGCCAGGTACTTACTATCATATCTGGTGGACATGCCCTAAAGCAAAAAGGTTTTGGGTTAAGATACATACATGGTTGGAAAAATGATTAAAAGAAAGATAGAATTTAAACCAGAACTGTTTTTGTTAGGAATATTAGGACCTAATTATGAGAAGGAGAATGAATATTTAATATTGCATATACTAACTGCAGCGAGAATAGTATTTGCCCAATATTGGAAAAATGAAAACTTACCAACTGAAGAGGTTTTAATTAAGAAAATCTTAGAATGTGCAGAAATGGATAGATTGAGCTTAGAGATTAAAGAGAAAAAAGATTCAGTTTACTTTAAAACATAGGATAATTTTTACCAATGGTTAGGAAAACGAACTAGTGAGAAATGAATGTTATTTTGAATATATATTAGTAAGAAGAATGATATGCATTAACTAACTGATATCTTTTATGATGATCGTTTATTACACTTATTACAGTCACTTATTACTATATCAACTATTGTTAACTAAACATATGTACCTGGACAATAGTCTGTTTGCTAAAGATTGAAAATGTTATTGGGGGTAACCCCAGTGTTGATCCCAACCCCCTCCCAACCACAATCCTGATCCCAACCCACCTTAATCCCTATCCCGATCCTATTCCATTCCCAACCCTATAAAACTCAATAAATCTTTTTTAAAAAGAGAGAAAGGGTTTTGTTTTTAATCATACTCATTAAAAAAATAGATGTTTTATAACTTGTCATGCCAATGGCAGTCATTATCTAAATTGCCAGCCCCAGGAAACATTTAACTGAAAATACTCGTGACATCACTCAGGATTTTGAAGGTGCCCACTTGTCTCAAAAATTTGGGAAGTCCTGTATACTATTTTGGCAAGACTTTTCTGAGTGGCATAATTGTTTTCAACCTTCAGGATGACTAAATTGTCATTTCACTCACAGGTGATGGTGCTTTGAAGGGTGCTGTCATGATCAAAAGCTATAACTGTAACCTCATACGGCTGAGGACTAGAATCTTCTCCTGGATGGCAATTAAGGCAGTAGCATCTCACACAAACAGAAACAATGGCACAGAGAAGGAGGAGCCCACCAATGGCAACCACAAGCCTAGAAGTGAAGAACAAGAAGAATCAGAACTCTTGCCATTTGTTCATATAATGGAAAAACCTAGCAAACTATTGTTATAAAACTGGAAATGCACCAAGTTCTCTAACAGACAAAATTTTCTAGATGTTCTAATTTCTACAGAAGGCCTACAGCTAACTCCAGAACTGAATCAAATGGATATCACTATTCACCAATTCAGTTACATTAATTACATTCCATTTCTCTTTCTTTCTTTCTTTCTTTCTTTCTTTCTTTCTTTCTTTCTTTCTTTCTTTCTTTCTTTCTCTATTAGACTACACACTGATAAAGAATATTCTTGGCATACAAATAACTTAATTAAAGTTGATCATAAGAGCAAATTGACCCACTAAACAGACACATTGTTCCTTCACCACCTCCTTCTTAGGGATATTTGGCAAAAGAAAGACAATCTTATAGTGAAGGTAAGAATCAAGGGGTCAATAAAAATATACCTGTTTAGAGAAGTGTGCTCTTTCCTCCACTTGTGCTTTCCAGGTGCTCAGCTTCACATTTCCCTGCATCTCTGAGATACTAATCAGATTAACCACCTTCCTGACCTGCAGTTCTTTTCCCTAACTTGGTTCACTAACCTGTTCCTAAGGCTCTGTCCTCCAATCCACCAAGCATTACCTCTTCTCTTTAGTTGAAAACTTGAAAACAATGTACTGTACAGGTAGTCTTTACAACAATTCATTTAATGACTATGATGGAACTGAAAAAATGACTTATGGCTAGCTGTCACACACAACTGTTGCAGCATTTCTGTGCTCATACAATCAACATTTGGGTGCTTGACAACCACCATGTATCATATGATCGCCATTTGTAACCTTTCTGAGGTTTTTGGCAATGTCAATGGGAGAAGCCAAATTCACTTAATAACCATAGGATTTGCTTAATGAACATAGCAAAAAAAAAAGATATAAAATCAGGCACAACTTAATGACCATGTTGCTTAGTGACAAATGTTCCAATCCCAATTGCCGTAAGTAGTACAGGTCATAAGTTGAGGACTACTTGTACATCATTTTTTTTACAAACTGAGTAAACTCTGAAAGGAGAAATGAAAGAAGGAAAGGAGGAAAATTGCCTAAACAAATATACATATGCAGATCATACATTCATTGCCTATCCTCTCTAATCTATTTGTAATCTAATCTATATGTACACCTATAATTTATATCTATATCTAATTGTACATCTGAGACTTAATTACAACAATCCTTGGTTGTATAAACAGGCATAGAATCAAAATCATGTGAAGTATTAGTATCGCTTTATAAAGCCTTAGTAAGGCCACACCTGGAATACTGAATCCAGTTTTAGTCACCACATTACAAAAAAGATGTTGAGACTTTGGAAAAAGTGCAAAGAGTGACTAAGATGATTTAAAGCCTGGAAACTAAAACATATGAAGAACGGTTGCAGGATTTGGGTATGGCCAGTCTAGAGAAAAGAAGGACTAGGGGGGACATGATAGCAGCATTCCAGTATTTGAGGGGCTTTGAGGTCCCTGTCAGAACTCTACCATCCTGAGTGGAGGTAAACTATTACTTGAGAATTGAAGTATTTGCTGCTTTCACTTTGATGTATCTGTGTGGGAAATAGGGAGGGGGGAATGGGCCATCAGGGCCATCTGGATAGACTCCTTTCCAGCCAGTTTCAGCCTGTTACCAAGGTCACTGTGCTGAGAAGACACAGGATTGGCTCGGACTGGGGCATAGTGTTGTGATTCCTTGCCAGCCAGTGGACCCAACAGCTGAGTGAGGAATCAAAGGAGGAGGAGGGGCCTGGAGTGACATCAGAGTCAGAGGAAGGCTCTGAGGAGCTCCAAGACTTACAGTCTGATGAGGAGCCTGGCCCCTCTACTCGTGCTCAGGCTGAGACACAGCTGTGCTGGGAGTCTGAGTGATGAATCACAGCTGGGAGATATCCAGGATGCACATAAACGCCGACAAGAAATGGAAAGGAATGCAATGGGGAGGCTCCAAAGGCAAAGGAGAAGGCATTAGGAAGCCATGCCTTGGCTGCATAATAAAAGGGAAGGTGTGGGAGGTGCTGGTTGCCGAAGGCAACCATTCGTGTTGAGGATCGAGTTTCTGTGAACTGTGTTTGTTTGCCTTGGACATTGACTCAGGTCTGTAAATAATAAAAGGGGATTGTTTTTTTCCTGCTTGTTGGAAGAGTGGTTTCTCCTTGTGAGTTTAACAAGGACTCACGTAGCCTGGGACAGAATACATTGGGATGGGGTTTGAAAAATGGGGAATTAGTTTAACAATTCACCAGGAACTTCAGATTCCACCTGGCTTCCCTGCAATCACTTTCTCTCACTAAAAGTTCATTTTGAAATAATGCTTGTTTCAAGAGTCATGCTTTCCTGAGAAGATAGCTGAGGCAGGATGTTACATTAGGTGGAATCTGCAAAGTGCTCAACCTGGAGAAGCACCTGTCCTACCGTGGGGACCATGCAGTTATGTTTATCTGGTCTATGACTAGGACCTCCATGTTTCCTTTAAGCTCGGTCCTTCTCTATGGTGCTGGTGAGAAATACTGTATATTGATGCTCTCTGGACTTGCTTGATTTTTTGCAGATGTTTCATTACCCAAACTAGGTAACATAATTAGTGCTAGAATTCCCATTTGCATGCTGTCTGAAGCGTTTGATGCCCATATGTGGTACAAATAAAGGAGAATATTTGTAGTTCAGGGTTGAAATGAGGGATCCTTGGTGCTCTCTGAGCTTGCTTGTTTTCTTGAAGACATTTCATTACTCAAACTAGGTAACATCATCAGTACATCTGTAAAATATGTATTTATGGATAAATATTTCAAGATCCCAAACAGGTAGATTCACCCTAAAATAAATCCTGAGACACCTGTCTCAAACAGAAAACAAATTGCAAGGATGTCATTCTCTCCCCCTATGCAGATTTAATTTTATAAAATTCTCTCTTCAAGAGAGTTTGCAAAGGGTTGCTACCTTCTGTTAATTGTTAATTTTATAAATGAACTAGGAAAATATACAAAATTTGGTTTCTGAAATTTTTTATCTCTTAATAAGTTTCATCTGGTTCATATGACTGGGAAAAGGGAAGGGTCTAAGAATAACAGCATAACAGGGTTTAAGTATAAGACTTTGGAGGTCTTATAGTCTTATAGCCCAACCTCCTGTCTGAACAGAAGACCCTATGCCATTCTGGACAAATGGTTGTCCAAACTCTTCTTGAAAACCTCCAGTGATGGAGCACCCACAATTTATGGATGCAAGCCATTCCATTGATTAATTATTCTCTCTGTCATGAAATTTCTCAGTTTTAGGTTGGATCTTACTTTTATCTTCTTATCCTGCCCTCTGATGCTTTAGAGCAGGGGTGTCAAACTGCTGGCCCATGGGCCAGTTGCATTATACGGAGGCCTCACCCACCCCAGCTCCGGCAATGCAAAAAAAGTCACGATACATCGCGACACATGACATGATGTGGTGAGTTTGACACCCGTGCTTTAGAGAATAAGTTGACCTCATCTTCTCTGTGACAGCTCCTCAAATACTGGAAGACAGGTATCATGTCACCCCTAATCCTTTTTTTTAGGCTATAGATATCCAGTTCCCTTGACTGTGTATATGTGTGGAGAAGTATTCTTAGTATTCTCTTGTTTGTTGTAGTAGTTTATGTTTGAGTTACTATTTGTATTGTTTCTATTACCATATTTTATATTTTAAAAGTAAAAAAGTTCAATTAACAAATTCAAAACATCATGAATCACACGGAATCTTTTCCATTATCCTTACCAGATGTACCAGAGATGGACCCAGTTTGTGTTGGAACAGCTTTGAAAGTAAAAAGAGTTTAAAAAAATATTAATGTCATAGAAATAGAGGGTTAATTTTTATATTCTCACAATCAGAAGTTTATTATTTAGATGATTGCTCTTGTCTTAACAACCCAGATACACCAAAAGATTCCACTGAAAACATTTTGTATTTGAGGGAATCTGTGAGATTTAAATGTTACATATTGTGTTGTTTATTTACTTCATGCTATCTGAATACACTTGTCAGAAAATTAGCAACAATCAAGATCCCAAATGATCTTGATTGTATAACTCCATCTCTTTTGAAACCAATTAATTATCCAATGTACTCTGGAAACAGAACTTTTTAATAGGATTTCATGAGGTCATAAGCAAATGTAAAGAGAACAACACAAGACTCGTAACGGAACTCAAGGACAATAAAAAAAGTTTCTTCCAACATATTAACAAGAAAAAGGTCAAGGAAACTGTAGGCCTACTAAAGAGAGAAGATGATAAGGAAATTACAGACAACATGGAGAAAGGGGCGTTGTCTTACCTGAATGCCTTTTCTCAGCAGGATGGTGTAGAGTCCACTGATTGGGTTATTTCAGCCTTCCTGCTCAGACTAAGACAAAAAACTTTGCCACGCCTCCCTCTGGGTGTGTCTTCCCCAGTTTTTGTCGAGGCGAAGTATCCAGACGCAAGGCTCCAAACAAAAAAATAAAAGACACATGCCTAGACAAATAACAAACAGGGGGGGCGTGGACTCTATACCATCCTGCTGAGAAAAGGCGTTCAGGTAAGACAACGCCCCTTTCTCCAGCAGAATGGGTGTAGAGTCCACTGATTGGGACATACCAAAGCCACTCATGTCCCTGAAGGGAGGGGGTCTAGGCCTGTGTCCCTTGAGAGGTAACTACTTGCTGTAGAACCCGTCTACCAAAGGCAGCATCTGCCGATGCAAATCTGTCAATCCTATAATGCCTAATGAAGGAAGAGGGTGATGACCAGGTCACCGCCCTGCAAATCTCCTCGAGCGAAGCCTGGGTAGACCAGGCTGCTGAGACCGCAGCACTGCGCGTAGAGTTGGCCGTGATCTGAGAAGGAACTGGAAGGGACTGCGAAACATAAGCCCTCGTGACACAAGCTCTAATCCACCGTCCAATGGTACAAGAAGAGACCTTCCTACCCATCGTAGACGGCTGAAAAGATACGAATAAGGCCTCTGACTTCCTGAAGGTCGAGGTCCGTTTAAGATAATGGCGCAGATCCCTGCGCACGTCCAACGTATGCCACCCTCTCTCCAGATGATGGGAAGGGTTAGGACAGAAGTTAGGGAGTACCAGGTCCTGTGACCGATGGAACCCTGTATTGACCTTTGGAATGAATGCCGGATCCAACCTGAGGACCACCCTGTCCTCATGGAATGTGCAGAGATCGTTCCTGACTGATAGAGCGGCTAATTCCGAAATTCTCCTGGCCGACGTAATGGCCACTAAGAAGGCCACCTTCAAGGTGAGAAAGTGTAGGGAACACGAACTCAACGGTTCGAATGGAGGAGAAGTTAACGCCTGCAGCACCTTGGGCAAATCCCAGGATGGGTAACGATGGGCCGTAGGTGGGCCAGTGTTCGCCGCGCCCTTGAGAAAGGCACCAACCGCTGGCTGGTGAGACAGGGAATCTTGGTTGTCACAAGTGAGAACCGTCGATAATGCCGCTACCTGCCTGCGTATGGTGCTGACAGATAGTCCCCTATTTAACCCCTCAAGCAAATACTCCAATATATCAGGGATAGTGACAGAAAGCGGCGAGAGGAACTTCCGTCTACACCAGGAGCAGAAGTTTTTCCAAGTGGCATCATAGATCCTATTGGTCGATGGACGCCGTGAGGCCTGGATAACTGAGATCACCCCGGAGGAATAGGACTGTCTGGTTAGACCTTCCAGTTCAAGTGCCAAGCAGCTAGTTGGAGCCACTGCGGATCCGGATGTTGGAGGTTCCCCTGGCTGAGAGCTACTCGGTCCGGGGGAATTCTCCACGGTGGCGAGAGCGACAGGTCCACCAGGTCGGCAAACCACGGCCAACGCGGCCAAAATGGAGCAATTAAGATTAGCTCCACTCGTTCTTGCAGGAGCTTGCGAATAGTTGCTTGGAGCAAAGGAAGAGGGGGAAAGGCATAAAGTACGCCCTCCGGCCATACACTTCGGAAGGCGTCCGTTCCCTCCGCCCCCCATGATGGGAATCTGGAAAAGAACCTGGGGAGCTGTGCATTCTCCGAAGAAGCGAAGAGATCCAAGACAGGGTGGCCGAACCTGTGAGCTATCTCCCTGAATAAGTGTGGACCCAGTTTCCACTCTGCATGGTCCACAGTGGCCCTGCTCAGGGAGTCCACCTGTTGATTTGCCTCCCCCGAAATGTGTTCCGCTCTGATGGAGCTCAGAGTGGACTCTGCCCAAAGACCCAATGCCAGGGCTTCCTGCATGAGGGGCCAAGAGTGGGTCCCTCCTTGTTTGTTTACGTGAGCCTTGGCCGCAATGTTGTCTGTCAGGATCAACACATGTTTCCCTGCCACGAGGGAGGAGAACTTCCGGAGAGCCAGGTGAATGGCCCTGAGCTCCAGCCAATTGATGTTGTGAACCAAGTTGGACCTGGACCACCGACCCTGTGCTAAGTGGTTGTGAAGATGTGCCCCCCAACCGAACAGACTGGTGTCTGTGGTTAGGGTAGTCCTGATCGGTTCCTTGAAAAGAGTGCCCTTTGCCAAGGCAGACGAGGTCCACCATAGTGAATCCAGTGTGAGATGGGGAACCCTGACTTTCTTTTTGGATGCACTGATGTTGCGTCTCTGAAAGGGAAGGAGAAACCATTGGAGGCTCCTGGAGTGGAGCCTGGCCCACGGAACGATGCCCAAACAAGAGACCATCTTCCCCAGGAGTTGAGAGAGTTGTACCAGAGGCACCCTCTTTTCCCTGCGGATCTGCTGGACCAGCACCCGAATGCTGACCTGGCGCTCCGGAGAGAGATAGACTTTGCATAGGTTCGAATCTATCAGTGCTCCCAGATGGAGCAGACGTCTTGTGGGTGTTATGTGACTCTTTTTGAAGTTCACGGAGAACCCGTGAACCTGAAGAGTATGGATTGTGATATCCAGGTCCGACTGGGCTGAATGGAAAGATCTGGACTGCATGAGTATATCGTCCAGGTAGCACTGTACACGCACGGGCCTCATCCTTAGATGAGCTGCCAGCATGGCCAAGATCTTTGTGAAGACCCTCGGAGCCGAAGAGAGGCCGAAGGGAAGAGCCCGATACTGGTAATGCCGGTGCGCGTAACAGAACCGCAGGAACCTGCGGTGATCCTGTAGGATCAGAATGTGGAGGTAAGCCTCTGTCAGGTCGATAGAGGAAAGGAAGTCCCCTTTTCTGATGCTTGCCAAGATGGACTTTAGGGTCTGCATCTTGAACATCCTGTAAGTTAGGAAGTAATTTAGACCCTTCAGGTCCAGTATCGCCCTCCAACCTCCTGAGGCTTTGGGGACTACAAACAGGATGGAGTAAAAGCCTACTCCTATCTGGTCCTGAGGTACCCTTTCTATGGCCCTGATGTCTAATAAGTGTGCGATGGCTGTCGAGACTAGATGAGCCTTTGAAGAATTGTTTGAAACCGGGCACCGTATAAAATGATCTGGGGGAAAAGATCGAAACTCTAGGGAGAGACCGTGTCTTATGGTCTCCCTGACCCAAGCGTCCGTAGTTGTGCCCTCCCAGATGTCGTAAAACAGTGCCAGCCGACCACCAATGGGGTAATCCTCCTTGGCGTCACTTGGACCACCTGTATGGCCGGCTGCCAGAACCCCTGAAGGGACACTTGATCTGGGAATGGCCCCTGGCTCCACTGATCTGGCGGTCCTGCTGGCGATCCTGTCTGGAAAGATAGGACCGTGAGCCTCTGGGCCAATCCCAGGATTGCCCTGCCCGAAAGGGCTGTCTCCACTCCCAGGAACCACCGGGGCGGAAGGCCGGCCTACGGTAATCTAGTTGAGGTCACCTATCCAATTTTTTGGAAGGGTGAGCCAAGACTTTGCGCTTATCTTTGCCCTCAATGACATGAGGTCCTAGCACTGCACCGAATAAGTGTGTTCCACTGTACCTGGAAGTTGACAGGCGCCACTTTGCCTTTAAGTCCGTTCGCCACTGCTTCAACCAGAGAAGCCTTCATGACGCCACTGTGGCTGCAACCGATCGGGCCGAGCACCTGGCCAAATGCAGAGATGCATCCACAATGTACTCGGAAGCTGCCACAATCTTGCCTAGTGTTTGGTGCGCCCTGACCTGATCTGGCGGGATGAGAGCCTGGAGATCCTGCAGCCACATTATCGCGGAACGTGCAAAGAAGGAGGATGAGGTTGCCGCCCTTGTTGCCCAAGCCGAAGATTGGTGAGCCCTGCGAAGTGAGAACTCGAACTTTTTGTCCTCCGCTTTTAGGAATTCAGCCATGTCCCCAGGGACGGCGGTGTTGGAGAACAGAGATGCCAGAGGGGCGTCCACAGTCGGAACTTCTAGAAGGGAGGCAAGGGAAGAAGCAACATTATAAAGTTTCTTGTCCAAACTACTCGGAGAGGGAGTGGTGGCTAGGGATGACCACTGCTTTTCCACCGTAGTCCTGAAGACTGACGGACATGGAATCTGAGGCTCCTCCCTGACCTTTTCCGCAAACGGGGTTGGCCTCCTGGTTCGAGGAGGTAGATGGTGCCTCCTCCTGAGCCGAAGTAAGCTTTACCGTGGCTATGGCCTTTAAGAGAAGAGACCGAAATATGGAAGGGTCGAAGAGACCCGAGGATGTCACCTGCTCAGGTGTCGGGTCCTCATCCTCAGACAATATAGTGTCTGCTACTTCCAGGTCGATTGATCCCTCCTCTCCTAATTGTGAGGAGGTCTCTGAAACATCAGAGCGAGGCCTCGTATCATGTACCTCCTGGGGCGGGGGAGCAGACGTGGGAGGGGAGGGATGTGACTGCGTTTGGCCCCGGCCCGTGGATGACATAAACTGTTTGAATGCATGATGCATGAAGGCCTGAAATTGGCTCTGGGACCATATTTCCTCTTGATCCCTGGAGCTGGCCCCAACTCCCGTTGAGGCATGCCTGCTCTCTAGTGCTTGGGGCAGCGAAGAAGAGGAGGAGGAACGATGAGGACCAACCTGCTCAGTTTCCCCCTGAGGAGACCAAGATTGTGGGGCTTCCAGTGATTGAAATTGAGGCTCTAGCGAAGGGATGTCCAATGGGGCGGGGGGAACCAATTCAGCCCCACTGGATCTGAGCCTCTCTGCCTTGGAGAATTCTCTCTCCAGTGCCAAGTATCTCCTCGAGGCCTCTCACTCGGCTGTTTTTGAAATTTCCTTTGTAGCCAAATGTTTGGTTTTAGCTTTTTTCTCCCCCCCCCCATTTCCACTTCCTCTGATCTGTGTTTTGTTTGTGCGGGGGGGACACTGGTCTGCGTTGCCTAGGGCGAGGAACTGTCTGCCATTGTAGTCTAGGTACTCCTGGGCAGTTGTACCTAGAGGTGGGGGAAAATCAATACGCAGATCAAGCAGTAAGAGATGGAAAACCGATCCTCACTCTGAACAGTTATCAATGGCAAGATCAGCCAGACAGTGTGCTAATACTGCCTGTACAGGCCCTGTGACTAAAGGTCACTGACTAAATTGAACCAGGTGGTCAAACAGGTATCTCTTCGCTCCTCTCCCTTAGATCTGAAAACTCAGGTGTGAACACCCTGATCTGCTAAATGCAGACCAGCCCCAATCCTGGGGTAGCAATCAAGAATTTCACAGCTGTGAATATGAGAGAAATATTTTTTCTTTCCCCCCTGAATGGGCCTGCTCACAGGCCAAGGCACTCAGGCAATAATGATGAACCGCAGTAAAACCCAGTAGGCCTTCAAAATGGTGTCTGCCATGTGGGCCTTGTAAATAAACCCCCACAGGTAACTCAAATGAGGTCTTCAAAATGGTGCCGGTCACGTGGGCCTGCAGAATAGCGCCCTCGTTAAGACCATGCGGTTAAAATGGCAGCTGTAGTATTAGAGTCCCAGAATAAATGAAACTTTCAAGAAGAATCAAGCTTTAAGTAACAAAGGAAAGCAAGAGGTTTGAATTCCCCCTGTTCCCAAGCACTTGCGGTTTGGTAGCGCAGCAGCCGCTGCGATTCGGAGTATGGCTGCAGGCAATGAATGCTCCTTCGAGGCCTCGACGCGAAGAATTGCACTCCGGAGGCCTCCTCGCCGAAGGTTGATCTCCGCTGCTCAGCTGATCAGCGGGATCGCGGAGGACAGTTCGCCGGGAAAAAAACCCCTCCGTCGAGCCTGCAGCCTCCCACTTCCTAGCCCCTAGGGGGCAGCGGGGAAGCAAGGACAGAGTCCTTATCTCCTCAGAGAATCCCCAAATTGATGAATTTAAAATGAAAGGCCAAATTAGTCCGAATAAAAGCTACAGAGTCCAATTTAAATATATCCAATCAAAGAAAAAGAAAAAAAGTCTAATCTAGCCTAGCTAAAGGAGCCTTAAAAAAAGCGTCTTGCTGAGCTCGAGACTAAGACAAAAACTGGGGAAGACACACCCAGAGGGAGGCGTGGCAAAGTTTTTTGTCTTAGTCTGAGCAGGAAGGCTGAAATAACCCAATCAGTGGACTCTACACCCATTCTGCTGGAGAAAGCAGAGCTGCTTCTCATACTTTGCATCAGTCTTCACACAAAAAGAAACCATAGCCCAACACACCAAAAAAACCACTGCAAAAGCCAGACTAGAAACAAAAATCAAAATAAGCAAGAAAATGGTAGAACACCTATCCCAGTGGTGGCGAACCTATGGCATGTGTGCCAGAGGCGGCACTCAAAGCCCTCTCTGTGGGCACGCATGCCGCCGCCAGCAGCTCACACAGGTCCATTAGGCTGCCGCTGCCACCCGGAGCAGCAGCCCCGTCTAGCACAAAGGAAGCGAAGCGACCAACTAGCAAGCTTGAGTAGAGGTAGTAGAGCACACCCACGCCCAGCAAGTCAAAGGCCACCCCAAGTGGGAAAAGCTGGATCCCCATTGGCGCCATAGCCCCCCAGTCCCAGCTAGGATTTCATGCCTCCCTCCCATCTCTGCTGGGCCTGGGTGGCCATGACTCCAATGGGGATCCGGCTTTCCCCGCTTGGGGTGGCCTTTTGCCTGCTGGCTCTGGGCATGCTCTACCACCTCTGCATGGGGCTTCCTAGCCAACCGCTTTGCCTCCTTCATGCTGGGTGGGTCTGCAGCTGTGGGTGGTGGCCTAATGGACCTGCACGAACGGCTGGCAGCCACAGTAGGTACTGAGGTGCACGAGGGGAATGCGCTTCACCCACAGTGAGCGCATGGGGGCCGACAGCATCCGGCAGCAGGGGTTGCGTAGCTCACTGTGAATACCAGGCCGGCCCTCCAGCAGCAGCGCTGTGGTGGCACCAGCAGCACACAGAGTTGGGGGACCACCGGACATGCCTACTCCGTCCCAAGACCCCCTCAAGGATTTTGCCCTTGGCCTGCATTCCCCTTGCGCACCTCGGTACCTATCACTGCCACCAGCCACTCGCACAGGTCCATTAGGCCGCCACCCAGAGCTGCAGGCCCGCCCAGCATGAAGGAGGCAAAGCAGTCAACTAGGAAGCCCCGCGTAGAGATAGTAGAGCATGCCCAGGGCCAGCCAGCAAAAAACCATCCCAAACTGGGAAAGTGACCCAGGCCCAGCAGAGGGGGGGGGAGGCACGCAATCCTAGCTGGGACTGGGGGGCCATGGTGCCGATGGGAATGTGGATTTTCCTGTTCGGGTGGCCTTTGGCTTGCTGGGCATGGGCGTGCTCTATCACCTCTACTTGAGCTTGTTAGCCAGCCGCTTTGCCTCCTTTGTGATAGGCGAGGCTGCCGCTCCAGGCAGCGATGGCGGCCTAACGGACCTGCGCAAGCTGCTGGTGACAGCGGCCCGAGGCGGGGCCAAGGTGTGTCAGGTGCATGAGTGGAACAGGCTCCACCTGGGGGCCAAGAACAAGATCTGCGAGGGGGCCCAAGGAGATGACCAGCAGCGACCTGCTCTCCAACTGCAAGCAAAAAGCACCCTGCAGGACGAGCCTCCTGTCCACCACCCTACCCACCAGAAACCCAGTGACCTATCCAATCTTGACTAATACAAATCACCAGGAGCTGACATTACATCCAGAGTTCTGAAAGAGCTGGCAAATGTTATCTCAGAACCATTATACCATATCTTTCACAAATCCTGGAGCACTGGGGAAGTATCTGAGGATTGGAAAAGAGCTCATGTGGTCCCCAACTTCATGAATGGCGGGGGAAGGATCTAGGAAACAACAGAGCAATCAGTTTAATATCAATACCTGGGAAGATCCTAGAAAAGATAATCAAAAAAACAGATCTGCGAACAACTAAAAGCAAACCAAGTCGTAACTAGCAGCCAGCACAGGTTTGTTAAAAACAGATCATGCCAATCCAATCTTATCTCATTCTTCGATAAAGTAACTAAATTAGTAGACCAGCGAAACACAGTGGACGTAGTATACCTAGATTTCAGTAAGGCATTTGACAAAGTAGATCACAACCAACTCCTCAGTAAGCTAGAAAAAGGTGGAATAGACAACATCATCACCAGATAGATCTGTAACTGGCTGACAAACCGTACTCAGTGAGTAATGTTCAATGGCACTACATCCACATGGAGAGAAGTAACCAGTGGGGAATTGAAGGGGAACTCATCAAATTCACAGATGACACCAAACTGTCAGGAGTAGCCAACACCCCAGAAGACAAACTCAGGATCCAAAAAGATCTTGGCAAACTTGAACAATGGGCCCTATCCAACAAAATGAGTTTCAATGTGGAGAAAAGCAAAGTCCTACACTTAGGCAGGAAAAACCAAAGGAACAAATACAGATTGGGCAAGACCTGGCTTGGAGGCAGTAACTGTGAGAGGGACCTTGGAGTCCTAGTGACGATCACTTAACTGTGAGCCAGCAGTGTGCAGCAGCAACCCAAAAAGCTAATACAATCATGGGTTGTATAAACAGAGGCATAGAATCAAGATCACACAAAGTATTAATACCACTTTATAAAGCCCTAGTAAGACCACACCTGAAATACTACAGCCAATTTTGGTCACCATATCACAAAAAAGATCTTGAGAGACTGGAAAAAATCCAGATAAGAGCAACTAAGATGATTAAAGGCCTGGAGACCAAAACATACAAAGAACGGCTGCAGAACTTGGATTTGACCAGCCTAAAGAAAAGAAGAAATAGGGGAGACATGATAGCAGTGTTCTAGTATCTAAGGGGCTGCCACAAGGCAGAGA